TATATATATATATATATATGTGGGTGAGTCAACAAGCAAAGTAGGGTCAAAGAGATTGAGATAGCCTTACCTTGTGGAAAATTTGTATTGGAAATCAAAGCAATTTGGAATTATTAAAGGTTTGAGGGGTTGAACATGCTGAGATGTAGCCATAAAATATAGCCACCCACTAACTATCATGACCGCATCATGTCTAACTAATATTATTTTACATATAAAAGAGATTAAATCTAAATTGAATTTGAAAAATTATCTTTCATGTCAACCGCGAAATTATTAAACTTCATTAATGGTTTTAAGTAATTGTCATATATGCCCATCAAGATATAATTTGTTAAATTAATATAATTATTAAATGCAGATACACGTTAATTATGTAAATCTCTTAAAGATTTTAAAATCTTCACTGTCACTTGACAATGTAAAATATAACAATAACTAATCGAACAAGTAAAGTAAACAATGAAGTTTTATATATATATGATTTTTCTTCAATAATTACACTTCTATTTATTAGAAGACAAAAGCCCAATGCCATGCAATATCAGCCCGGGCCATCCCCTATGTTGGGTCGTTGGCTATACTCATATTAGTTTTTTTGAAAGATAGTTGGCTTTAATCATATTAATTTGAACCACCAAGTACTGACAGATTGAATCTGAAAACGGGCAGTGCTGACTTTCAAGAATTTCGGCTGTCAAGATCTTAAACGAATTTGATAAAGAAAAGAATTTGGATTCTTCGAGTTGATGCCTGCTTACACTTGAACATTTCATTTATTGATATATACTTATAAAAAATTATTGCTTATCTAGTCTTGTGTCATAACTCAATTTTTGCATAAGACTATAATGGGTTAGATGAAGTCTTTTGTTCCTTAAAAAGAAAAGTTCTTGTTTTAAACAATGTAATGATATTTGATACTATATTTATAAGGAGTGAGTGATTTCATTTTATATAGAGTAACGTTTCATAATGATATACGTGTAAACACTCATTAACCTTTTATAAAGGTTAACAATTGATAGATTACTAGGTTATCTCACTAGTTAAGGTATATTGATGGCTAATCATTAAAAGCTACTGTTATGACTCGATGATGACGTACTTTTACTCGTAATCCCTTTGTATTTCTTTTTAATATTAATAAAATATATATTTTTTGAAAGCAGTAATTGTATATATATGACATTTGCTATGCTTCACGATTTCATTATTACTTTTCACAAATCAACTCGTAGCTATAATTTGTATTAAGTCAAATATTATTGAGTTATTGACTAGCTTGTGCAGAAGCATTCACCTAAGCGCTACACAAGTTATTGCATATTTGAACTAAGACATAGTCCGTGATGATTGGTATTAAAGCCAACTCTAGGTATTAGCCATATGCTACTAAGAACAATATGTCATTGTTGAAGTGGGAAGGATGTTATGATTCCAACGAGGAATTATGTGAATCTCACATCGTATACTTCCAGTAGATAGAGCCGTAAATCTCACATTAAAAAAAAGCTTTCAAAAGAAAGCCAAGAAAGGATCTCATGATTTTAGAGAAGAGTCACGAATCCAACATCAATTGTGTATTAGATTGAGATTAAAGATTTAAAAGTTCATATCAATTTCAACTTGTGAGATGATTTTTGTGAAATAAAATCATAAATTTCATCAAGAGTTGATATAGACCATGAGACCTTGAAATTTATACAATAAAGGTGGTTGGATTAGTAATGGAAAGGGAATGAGGCAATGAGGGTGATTCAGTAATTGAGGATGCATTCATGCTTGCTAGCTCCTCTGTCCTCCCTGTAAGACAACATAAAACTAGTATTCGGCTTAAGGTTGATGTTGTATAATTGAACCGCAACTCAGAATGACTGTTAAAAGGGTTTTTGTAACTGTACTCATGTTCCATTTAACTTACTAGCCAATAGTACATATTCTGTACAACCTGGTTTCCTCTATCTAGGCTCTAACTCGGTAACCGACACTTCATTGATAGACAACGTGGTTGATTTACTAGAAGATTGATCAGATGATTTCAGCCCCTTTGCTCGTGGATTCAACTCAGTTCTGGAACGAAGGAAAAACGCTGGTTTCTGAGGCAACGGTAAAGAAACAGAGTAACTGTCAAGCATGAGGCCTACTCTTGTCATTGTAGGCCTATTTGCTGGATCTTCCTGAACACATAACAGGCCTATGTGGATACATCTAACAACTTCGTTTCTTGAACAGTTTGCTCTTAAATTGGAATCCAACAATTCCAAAAGAGTTCCATTCGTCCAATGGTTCCAAGACTGCAGCAATTTGTTAAGTAATGTCACATTTAAGGCTTTGATAAAACGAAAGAAAGGTTGATGAACAAACAAATGTACTTACATAGCTTAGGAGGTCGTCAGCACCATCTGATTGATAAAAGGAACTATTCTTTCTGCCGCTTATAATTTCTAGTATTAAGACCCCAAAGCTAAAAACATCTGACTTCATAGAGAACTTTCCATGCATTGCATATTCTGGAGACATATAGCCGCTACAAACAAGCAAGATAAATTATGCAATTGAAGTAACAAAATGAACAATGAATTTCATGTTGCAATATCTGCTGTTGAAACCAAATTAACGCTCCATCATAAGATGATCTTTCATACAAACCAGTCCAGCTATGAATTGTGTTTCCCCTGGTTTCTGCTGCAAGTCAGAATTGTAAGGCAGAACAGATAGGTAAAGTTAAAGAGGGTGGTGAAGGCAGCAAGATCAAACATCTTTATCTTAGTCTCAGTTCGTTATCGGTATACTGGTTGTAGAAAAAGCATTATGGTGACCAGTTCCTTATAGATATTTTGGTTGGAAGGAAAATTATCTACCAATAAATTCTTTTTCAAACGTGGGAAACATGGGATATTCTAACTTACAATGTTCCAACAATTTTTCTTGTGTTCGCCTGAGTTTGATCCACACCAAAAATCCTTGCAGTGCCAAAATCTGAAATTTTTGCATTCATATCCTCATCCAACAACACATTACTAGCTTTGAGATCACGATGGATGATTCTTAGTCGAGAATCTTCATGAAGATAGATAAGTCCTCTAGCAATCCCTCCAACAATTTTGTAACGTCTTGACCAGTCCAAATTTCCTTGTTTTTCAGGGTCTGCACAATCATCAAAATCAATCACATAGTCACTTTTGAAGGATGAAAGAAAACGGAACAAATAAGTAAAGATCAGATTGAAAATTAAGGTCTGTTTCATGGTCAGACATTCTCCTTTCCTAATCAGAATAGAAAGTTGTGTTCAGATGACCATACTGAATAGAAAGTAGTCGAGGCTTTTGTTTGGCACGTATTCATAAATGAGGAGCTTTTCTTCTCCATCCAAGCAAAATCCCAGCAGTCTCACAAGATTTCTATGTTGTAGCTTCGCTAACAGTACCACCTCGTTCTTGAATTGTTCTGCTCCTTGGACAGAGCTCTTAGATAACCTCTTTACGGCTACTTCTTGTCCATTACATAGGTTACCCTGACATTATATGTAAAAACCAAATCTAAGATTACTTTACCTTTTTTCCCTTTAAATTTTGCGAATTTGCGAGTATTAGCAATTTCAATAGATAAGATTTCACAGAATTTTTTTGTAATATATAATTGTGCTTATACCTTGTAGACCTCGCCAAATCCACCTTCACCTATCTTGTTATCCGAAGAGAAATTGTTCGTTGCAGCTTCAATTGTGGCCAAATTAAATTTCAAGGATTCTGAAGTTGGGATTTCTTCCGAAACTAAATAATCAAAGGATAGTTCCATTAAAATAAATGTCATTGACAGAAAACCATAGTGCAACATATAGAAAGTTGGAGATTGTTTACATAAGGGAGCCAATGGTCTTTACCATTTTCTTCAGGTAATGAATCGTATTTCTTGCTTGCCCTCCTTCTCAGCAAAAACAGAGCTAACGCCAAAAGCACCAAACTGATAACTATTGGAGCAACAATGGCGATGATAACTGGTGAAGAGATCTTTCTTTTTCCTGGACACAAAACATGCCCTCAGGAACAGCCTCAGTTACTTGAAACACTTCTAAGTACTTAACTGACAATATTTGCACCCGACTACTACAGGATTGAGGCTTTTAAACTTTACCTTAGGCCTAGGATGAGCGGTTTCGGGATTGAATCAGTGCTGGGGCTTGGGTGTAGGGTTTTCAAAGTGCCTGATAATTTCAGGCAATAAATTGGCTTCCTTTAGCTGAGAAATTGATTAAGAGCTAAGGGACAATGGATTAAGTTATATATGAATTCATACATTGGGCAACATGGGTTTTTGCCTACATTGCCTTGCACCATTATTTAGGACAGAAGTGTGATGTAGCAAAGCAATCGTCCAGAACCTCGCCTAAATTAAGCCCCTGTATTTTATCTGTTGGATCTAAAAATGCATAAGTAAATATTGAACTTATTCTATTTGAAGAATGAAGAATCAAGTAGCTATTTGTTTTGCGCACCCAAAAAATTGAAGAAATTTTGGATCGATTGAAAAAACACACACACAAAAAAAGAAGAAGAAGAAGAAGAAGAACTGACCTTTAGTTGAGTTTGGTGAGGAAGGTGAAGGAACCCGTGATGTGGTGCCATTGAGTTGGTAGAAAGGAAACATTTCATATCTGACATTACAGCTTGGAAGCAAAACTCTTGCACCTTGTTTCCCATCACAGCACGTTGGAATAGTAGCAATGGCACTCTGGAGGCATCTGAAGCAAAGTGCATCGGTTAAATCCGGGGTGCACTGCGCTAGGCTGTACAGTGTTTGGGAGCTAGTAAAATTCGCTTCACCAGCTGCAAACCTTTTGCCCGATTGGTCACCATACGCAGCTCGGTTCTCTAAGCTTGTCATTACGTTTGACAATAACTGATTAAAACGATCTTTGTCCGTGATGCTTGCTGAACTGCTTTTACCCACTGCCGGCACCTCACGAATGATGGAGAAAATGTTTTGATCAGAGTACCGCACAGTACACTCATCGTACCAAATCACACCCAGTTTTTCCGTAAGACAGCGTTGAGCTATGTCGTTGCTAGCACTGGCGACGCAGTCTTGACAGAGATTAGCTGAAACATCTCCCCGGCAAAGAAAAGTTCCGTAGACCAAATTCGGGTCCTGCCCTGCTGTGGTGTTGTAAAATCCGTTCTTACTGCTGCTGGTGTTTGAAGAAAGAGAGGATAGAAGGGTCTTGATATTGGCTTGGTAGGTGCTGTTGGGCGCGAAAGTAGTGGAATTATCACAGGCATAAGAGCTGTATGTAGGCGCTGCTTCATTGCTGAAGCTAAGCAATGTGAATAGAAGCATGACAATTACGAAGGTATTGAGAGAATCCATATCAGATCAATGAGTCTGGGATTTTTTGTTTATTTATTTTTAATGTTAACTAAAATTAACGTGATAGTATTCCAATTCATAATATAAAATTTCAAATCAATTATGATTAATAATTTGAATAGCCACTGTTACAATTGTTTACCGAAACATTTGCAGCCAATAAGCGCTGAAGTCTTATAAAGAGGATGATGATATGGGTGACTCAGTTTGGTGACAGCTGTCCGTACCAGTCGGCTTGAAAGCCCAGTCAACTAACAATTTTCATTTTTAGGTAGAATACTTTCATTTGTTTTAAATTTTAATTAAAATTCTGAAGAGATTTATTATTTTTAAAATAAACACATAATTTTAAAAATTAAATATATAAATTTAATTATTAATCCATTATTAATATTTTCGTTAATTTGATAATATTAAAATAATAATTTTATTTTTTATTAATTTTAAAAATTAATATTATATAATTTTTTATTAATTTTTTTTAAAAAAGCATCTATCAATGTTTTTTATTTTTTTAAAAAAATATATAATAATTTTTAAATTAATAATAAAACAATATTTTAATTATTTTTAAGATGAGAAGTCTATTTCATAAATTAATAAATTTATTTAAAATTTCATTTAAAATTTAAGAATATGAAAATATATACACATTCATGATTTGATTGAAAAAAGACAAGAATCTTTTGCGGCAAATATCAGTCATCTTCCGACTGGCCAAGGTTTACCCAGAGTCATCAAGTCTTGGCAATTCATGTGACGTTTAGGCCATTCAATGCTTGACGCTTGCTCCTCGATAAATAATTGACAAAACATTTCAAACAATGCTTTGAATGCTCTTAACTTTTACGTACATTTAATTTCAATAATGTTTAAGGTTGAAAGGGGTGGGATAAATTATAAAAATTTTATATTATTTAATTTAATTAAATAGGATTAAAAAGATTAATATAGTAAAATTACTATTTATCACAAATTTGAGTAAGATTCGAGTAGTGTTTATATAGTAATTTTATAATAGATATTATTAGAATTTGATTAGAAATAGTGATTTTTAATATTACATTTTAATTTTATATTTATAATATCTTTAATGTAATAATATTTTAAAGATTTATGTAAAGGTGTCAAAAGATTGGACCGCTCTAGCAAACCCATTGTTCTAACTTGATTAAAGTCATAGTATTATATTTATAAATTATGCATTTATTTGATTTTAATTTTTTTAACATATACTTTAAAAATTACTATCATATTGTCTTCTTTTTTTGAATTAAAACTGATCTGAGCAACTTCCTAGCTGAAGTTATTTTCATTTATTGGTAAATCAATATGATACATCTGCTTGTAACTATAATTGAGGAAAGATAGCTCACGACTTCTAAAGTTGTATATGATATGTATCCCCATTGGTTCTTATTCTCAACTCTAAACTACCGAGGATATAAGTCTGAAATGGAAGCTTCATTGACGGAAAATGGAATTGACTTGCTAGCGGATTGGTCCGACCCCTCTTCATTTGTCAGAAAATTCGACTCACTTCTGGGAATGGAGAAAGTGGCTGGAGCTTGCGGTGCTTGGAGAGTAACGGAGTAGCTGTTAAGCATGAGAACAATTGCTGCCATCGTGGGTCGTTCGGCTGGATCTTCCTGAACGCATAACAGGCCGATGTGGATGCATCTAATGACTTCATTGCTAGAATAAGAACTTCTCAGACTTGAATCCAATAATTCCAAGGGTGTTTCGTTGTTCCAGCGCTTCCAAACCTGAAAGACGTTGGGGAATGATGTTTAGTGCTCTGCAATTTATTTCTAGAATACGTTATATAATTTTTCTGGTCATACTCACATAGCTTAAGAGGTCATCGGCTCCATCTGTTGATTGGAAATTGTAGCTTTTCTTTCCAGTAATAAGCTCCAAAATTATGACTCCAAAACTATATACATCAGATTTAACAGAAAATTGTCCATGCATTGCATATTCTGGAGGCATGTAACCACTACAAGCCATGCAACAATGTTAGGCAATGTCATCCTTAGAAATTAAGACAAAAGAAATCTTCTACATTCTTTTTTTTTATCTAGAAAATTTTTTTATTACTTTTAATGGAAACTTAATTACTAATTGTAGGAAAATAATGCTAACATATATAAAATTTTTAAAAACTTACTATGTTCCGACAATTCTACTTGTGTTGCCTTCAGATTGATCAACTCCAAAAATTCTTGCCATACCAAAATCTGAAATTTTTGGATTCATATCATCGTCTAGCAATATATTACTAATTTTGAGATCACGATGTATAATTTTAAGTCGAGAATCCTCATGAAGATAAAGAATTCCTCGCGCTATTCCTCCTATTATCTTGTATCGCTTGATCCAATTTAATTGTCCTTGTTGTTTACGTCCTGGGACATATTTGATATAGTTATAATAATTTGCAGAAAGACAATTTGGTTTCAGAAGTAAAATAAGGTTTGAGCAGACCATACCGAATAGAAAATAGTCAAGGCTCTTGTTGCGAACAAATTCGTAAATGAGTAATTTTTCTTCTCCCTCCAAGCAAAATCCCAAAAGCCTCACAAGATTTCGATGTTGGAGCTTGGCTACCAATACAACTTCATTCTTATATTCTTCTGCACCTTGGCTGGATCTTCCTGATAGCCTTTTAACAGCTATTTCTTGTCCATTAGGGAGTTTGCCCTGATAATTTAAACAATTTCAGTAAGGTACCAAATTAATTTGTTTCCAACAGGTGAAGGTTTCTACCTTGTAGACCGGACCGAATCCTCCTTCACCCAACTTGTTATCAACAGAGAATTTGTTCGTGGCAGCTTCAATGGTGGCAAAATCAAATTGCAAGGACTCCACAGTCGAAATTTCATTTGCAGCTAGATGATAAAAATTTGTACTAAGTATTACCCTTTTGTTTTCACTCCATCGAAGAAATAAAAAATGCTTGATGAATGACTGTGATAGAGAAAATTTACTCTTCTTTACCGTTTTCTTGTTCTACTGCATCGTACTTCTTTCGTTTCCTAGTAAGAAGACAGAAGCCCGCTGCAAAGAGCACCACAGAGACAACAACCGGGACAACAATGGCAATTACAATTGTTGATGAAACTTTGTTTTTCTCTGCACGACAATAAATTCAGGCATACGATAATTAATTGACATGCTAGAAAGTCTAGTATAAAGATTACTGCCTTTTCACTCATCTGATTTTAAGCTTCGGTCCTACCTACTTTACCTTTAGGTTGTGGCGCTGGAGGGGAAGGACGAACTGGTGTCTGTGGTGGCGGTTGCGCTGTGATCCGGTAAAAAGGGTACAATTCATATCTGACGTTACAGCTCGGAAATACGACTCTGCCCCCTTGTTTTCCAAGGCAGCAAATCGGAAGAAAAGCAATTGCTGTTGTAAGGCAGGTATCACAACTGGACACAGGTAAATCCGGAGTGCATTGAGCGAGTGTGTAAAGCGTTTGAAAATTGGTGAAATTGGCTTCTTCAGTAGCAAACTTTTTTCCTGACTGATCAGCAACTGCTCTTGTGGCTATCTCTTTCGTCGTGTTTGCAAGCAAATCCATGAATCGGTCTGGTTGTGAAACATTCCCTGTATTCAACAGTTGCAAACCAGGTTCGCTTTGCCATTTGGAGAAAAAGGACTGGTTGGAGTAACGTAAGGTGCACTCGTCGTAGTAAACCAAAGCCGTTTTCTGGTTGGGGCAACGTCGAAGTATCTCGCCGGAAGCTGTGCTAACACATTCTTGACAGATATCTTGGGTGACATCGCCGCGGCAGAGAAAGAGGCCATAAACAATATCCGGAGGGTCTTGGCCAACGGTGAGGTTATAGAATCCATTTTCACGGGTAGCGTTGGACTGAAGAGACGAGAGAAGGAAATTGAGGTTTCTCTGATAAATGCTATTCCGACTGTAAGTCGTTGTATTTGAATAGCAGTCGGAATCCAAGAAAACAACTGCTGCTTCACTGTTCAGACAGAGCAAGCAAAGGGAGATGCAAAATGAAAGGGTCATGGATATATGAAACGGAACCATGGTGATGATCAGCTCTTGCTATTTTTTTAGAGTACTGGAAGGGGTTTAAATAAGCACTTGCTTCCTCTGGGTGAAATACATCTGTCCACTCCAAGAATTTACAAACTTGGAGGCAAATTTTACAACAAATCATACAATAAACTGTTTAGAAAAAATAATTTCTATTTATAAAAATAAACAAATAAAATAACAAAAAGGGCAGGTTGACGCCATTGAGTGGAAGACTTTGAATCTTAAACCCAAGAATCGAGTGGAAAAGTCAAGGACACTATTGCTTGCGTGGCAAATAAGGATAGGACAGAGAGAGTACGTACTCCAATGGGAATTTAGGCCCTCGAGTCAGGAGAGTAGGCCCAGCAGAGGCAGGAAGACTAACTCATTGACTAGACAATTTTTCTTTTTGAAGGTCCGAAAGATCGAACGGAAATCCTGTGCAATCCATGCCCCCTCCCTGCCCTATCAAAACATTTGAGACGACCCCAACAACCTCCCTCGCAAACCTCACCGTGGCTCAACTGCACTCCCTTCACTATACTAGCAAATCATCCGAGTTTGCATGTATTTTTTTTAATCAAATCAAAGTCCTATATCTAGACTTTAAAACAATTCTTATTAACGGGGCATGCTTTGTGGCAAAAGATTTTCATTCTGTAAGATGCATCTAATTAAATAATTCAGGACTCTGAATATCATATTTTTTACAAGATTTCAACCAAGTATACATGTTTGCGTATCAGAAATCTTGTGCACATGGCTATTGGCACGATGCCAATGACGCATAATCCTGTAGTTCGCCTCACACACATTGGTTATCGAGGGAATAGCTCAGTTATGGATGCCTCATTCACCGTGGCTGACGATGACGTGCTTTTAGATCGATCAGATTTCTGCTCCGAAAACTTACGTCCTGTCATGGTGCCAAAAAAGAATGCCGTTTTTTGGGGTGATGGTAAAGTAACAGAGGAGCTGCTAAGCATGAGAATGACTCTTGCCATTGTTGGCCTTGCACCTGCATCTTCTTGAACGCACAACAGGCCGATCTGAATGCACCTAAGAACTTCATTTCTCACATAAGAATCTTGTAAGGTCGAATCCATCAATTCCATTGGTGTCCCCTTCTTCCAATGTCTCCATACCTGCAACGGCCACGAATTAATTCTCAATACACTACATCTTTTATAAAACTTTCGAATTCAAACTAATTTTATCTTGGACTTACATAGGTTAGAAGGTTATCGGCATATTGTGAGTGACAAAAACTTGTATTCATTTTGCCACATATAATTTCTAGTATCAAAATACCAAAACTAAACACATCAGACTTCTCAGAAAACCGTCCATACATTGCATATTCTGGAGACATGTAACCACTACAATATAACATTGTTAGCAATGAAACAATGACGAAGCAAATGTTGAGTTATAGTGTGATTTTGTCATTTTTTATGGATGAGGACAGAATGTACTAATGCCAAACAAGTAAAGAGAAATGCTTGGCATGGAAATTAACTTACTATGTGCCGACAATTTTCTTGGTACATTCTAGACTTTTATTTTCCCCAACAATTCTTGCCATGCCAAAATCAGAAATTTTTGGTGTCATGTCCTCGTCTAATAAAATATTACCAGTCTTAAGATCACGGTGTATAATTTTGAGGTGTGAATCTGAATGAAGGTATAAAAGCCCTCGAGCAATCCCTTTAATTATTTTGTAACGTTTGGACCAATCCAGTTGCCTTTGCTTTTCAGGATCTGAAGGTTAGGAACCAGAAACAACATGAAAGAGAGGTCATGATAAATTACTATAAATAGAACAAAAACAGTAAGGTAAACCATATATATAAAGGTGCCATCTTTTGGCCAAATTTATTCAAAAGAAGAGATGCCATATGCGTAGAAATTTCAGTGTAATTAGATGCATTGCATGCCTGTTTTATGGTGAAAACTAAAAGTACATATGTTGAAAAAGGCACCAAACCAAATATGAAGTAGTCAAGGCTTCTGTTGGGTACAAATTCATAGATGAGCATCCTCTCCTTTTTGTCTAGGCAATATCCAAATAGCTTCACAAGATTCCGGTGTTGAAGTTTGGCTACCAATAGAACCTCATTTTCGAACTCTTCATCACCTTGTCCAGAGCTTGTTGATAGCCTCTTGACAGCTATTTCTTGTCCATCCGGAAGCGTACCCTAATCAAATTGACACCATAATCATTTCTTGAAATAGTTTATTTTCATTAGTTTTAAAGATCAAGGTTGGATCCCTTCAACTCTCCAACCAATTGTGGTGGAAATTAATGAACTCTACCATGTTATCATGATAAGCTTCATTTCTCACCTTATACACACTCCCAAATCCGCCCTCACCAATTTTGTTAACTTCAGCAAAGTTGTTTGTGGCAGCTTCAACTGTACTCAAATCAAAATGCAGAGATTGCAAATTCCTAGCCTTACTTTTACCTACACATTATACATATAAACCAACAACAGGCAATATATAATGAAAGACATTAGTTACTCAGCAAATCATTTGTACAAGAGAAAATGTAAAGATGTTGTTTATCTGAGCATATTATAGTTAATTTGGGCTTACCATATGGCCTTTTTTGCGCAATTAGTTTCTTCCTTGCTTTCCAGCCCAGAACACAGAAAGAGGAGAAAACCAAGAAGCTAACTGTTGGAGCAACAATTTTGATTACTCTCTGTGATGACATCCCCGTTTTACCTGAATCAAGAAGTATGCTTAGTTACTTTTCTCTGCATTAAAACAAATGATAGAACTCTTTGGTCCCTTGTCTAAAAAAGGAACAGGATTTCCTATCTTTACAGGATAGCTGAATACAAATAGCAAAGTAGGATTAGACCCTGTTAGACTTCTCACGAGTTGTTTGACAGTGCGATTTCAGACTTAGCATCTCGAAAAGAAGAATAGAGCTTTGGATCTATATGTTGCAGATCTACAAACGTAATTAGATGTGAGCAGAACAAAAATTAAACGAATATAGCTCCTCCTTATAGTTCCTTCACTCCTGGAATTTTTGTTCGAACAGTCCTTCAATTTAAGCAAACAATATTTGAACTTTTAGGAAAACTTTGGATTTCCAGAAAAAGTTGATTAAGAAATTCGAAAACTGATTCGAAGACTCTCGGTCCTTGATCTAAATCACACATCAAGCATATTATATTGATCTATTAAACGGACCTGGTGGAGGTGGAGGATGAACAAGAGGAGGTGCAGGCGACGCTGGGAGAGGAGGTGGTATAGTTTCGTTACTTCTGCTGTAGAATGGGGCAACTTGGTATTGCACGGTACAGCTGGGGTACAGAGCAAATGCCTCTGTTTTCCCACTGCAACAATTTGGCAAATCTGCAATAGCTTCCTGAAGGCATCCGTAGCAATCCCTACTGGAAATGTCCGGTGTGCACTGTGCTAGGCTGAAAATTGTTTGGAATCC